TTCTCTTCTCTTCTCTTCTCTTTCAACAGGCCGTGTATGACGTGGTGTCATAGGTCAGAGCGACGCATAATCGTATCTACTTCTGTTTATTCGCAGGGACTGCATCTTCACCGAGGTGTTCCTCAACATGCGCTATGACAAGACAGACTGCGCACTCATGTGTAATCCAACCACAGTCACCAAGGTAGCGTCACTGTAAATTAGTCATTCCGTTATTGCTCTTTGAAGGATTCATAGTAGAATATAACATTTAGTGAGAACCAAGTCACTCGCCTCTCACTTCTGGGGTCTCAGGTTTGATTCCTGGACTCGATATCACATGTGAGTAGAGTTTGTTGGATCCATCTTTCCTTTGATTGAGAGTTCCAAGATACAAGGTGCAAAACAGTAACATGAGGATTTCATATTCAACGAAAAACTATCAAATAAATAGAAATTAGACTTAATAAGAGAAAGAAAAAAAAGTGGAGGTAAAAAAAGTGTGCAATTATAAATTGTCAAAAAGAAATCAAAAATTTGTGGAAGCGTCCACGGTATGGCGGGTAGCACAGTAAGTCTAAAATCTTTTCTATTTTACTTTACTAACTGGTTTATGGCTTTGGGATCATTCCCTCTTTTCCTGTGCTGTCTCTTGATTTGAGTTTATTTCCCCAGGTTMTCCGGTTTTCCTTCCTCAATATAATCTAACATAGCAAATTCTAATTCCATCTGTGAGTTAGCTCTGTAGCTTACGAATTTGTCGCTCTTGTACGTTCGAATTTAGAAGTGGTGGTCTTTGCGAAGGAAGGAAAACTGGAGAACGCTCAGAAAAACCCTCGAAGCCGTACAGGAGAGAAACAACAAACAACTCTACTCACAAATGATTAAACTCGACATGACCACAGCCGTGATAGGCAGCGCATTAGAAGATTATTAGATTGAAATGTTATCCTCTGTTTAATCATACTGATTTCGTATCACTCGTTTTTCAGAATTCAAGTCGTCATGGTGATTTTGAGAAGTCTTTCCTTGAAAGGTATTGTACAAGACAGTTTGCTAAGAGCAGTTTTCGTATGACTGTGAAAACGTCAGTGCCGTATGCGTGCCTTGCCGCGACCGTGATGTTTTCTAGAATTTTAATTGGCTGATTCTTTTTCGCGCAATGTGATTGGTCTGGCAGTGCCGTGACATTGGCGTGACCGTGTGTGAGCCGTGTTTATGCCGTGTTTCGGGCATTTGATTGGATGAGAGTAAATTCTCGTACAATGTGATTGGTCTGGAATATGCCTTGCCGTGTCACGACCGTGTTCATGCCGTGAGCTTTTCATACATAAGAAAAATGCACTACGTCGGACAAATTACATTGCGTGATGATTTACTATCCATCCAATCAAATGAATAGTGCGCACAATAGCCATACAAGCCACACCTTTAGAAAGTCGTATGACGGTGAAACACAATTGACATCAATACTTGTTCAACCAAAAAAATTGTTTCTGCTTTATGAAGCTGTTTGGAATTGAAAGTCAATAAGTCATTAGAACCCCCCCCCCAATTCCCTAACAGGAATCTTATCCGTGTTTCCATCCAATTCAGAAGTACATTCTACTTTTCCTTAGGTATCGCCGTGAGTTTGGCTTTGATATTCCTGGCCGCAAGATCTATGTAGAAGATATTCGTGTTCGTGGAATAGGAGCATCGAAGGTTGACCTCAAGGGAGCGGTGTCCAATGCGTCTGGTCCGCCTAAACCTAAGAAGGTAATTCATAGTCAATAGACCGTTTTCATGTGACATCACAGCGGCCATGTTGGTGTACCAAAACAATGCATTTTCTATCCTCCGGGAATTGAACTCTATTTTTATGCAAAAACTGTGCAGAAAGTTTATAATATTGTTTGTTACATCAATATGGCTGCCTTCTCACGTGAGTGACTAAACGCTCTATAGATGACTTGTACTAACAGGTCACGTGACCCTACCCTCTTAAAACGAGCAGTTGCGTCAAAATGAACAACAGAAATGAAAAGAGCACCTCAACTTTAGTAAGACAGCGAAGTTTCAGCTCGAAATGATGACCACAAGAGAAATGACATTAAATATAAAGTCAAATATTTTACAAGGATTTGTATGGGAAAAGTGTTGGCTGGTAAGCTTTTGTCATCCAGCGCATTTTCCCATACAAATCCTCATAAAACATTCAATTTTATATGCAATGCCATTTCGCCTGTTTCGCTTGTTATGAGCGGAAACTCCGCCTTCTACTGTTCGGAATTAAATGCTCGCACGTTATAGAATCTAGAAAAACCCAAAACAAGTTTTGGATTAAATGGAGTATTAAGAATAATAGTCCCTTTGCAGCTCAGTAATCACGTGCTGATTAATTCATTGAGAGCAAATGAATGAACATCTTGATTCCCATGGGTGAAATTTGCTGGTGAGCAAACACACTTTCTACAACCTGTTTCGAGAGATCGTAATAAAACTGCATTTCGTAACACACTGGATACACATGTTTTCATTCAGTTCTTTACAAGTAGCTAAAAAGAATCACCAATTTAAAATAAAATAAAATAATTTGCTCGCCAGTACAGACACGTGACCGTTAACTGCAAAGGGCCTATTGAATGATTTTCTCGTAGACCTATCGTCTTTGCTCAAGAGTTTCGTGCTGATCAACGTTTTAATCTAAAAGGTTCTTGATTCAATTCTTTTCTTTTGACTCCATCGACTGCAGGTCACGGATTGTTTTTTCGAGGAAGGATTACTGAAGACATCAATATACTTCCTGGAGGATATCAACAGTGGTTACGATATCGAAGGACCTGCCATTATCATCGACAAAACCAGGTGAACAACACGTACCGTGTTTACTTAGTCCAAAACTGAACCCACTTTTATTTGATTTGTTCGTTTTGATCCAAATCAACGCGCGCGCGGGCGCGAAAACATTCATGGGATATATACGAAATTTTTAATACACTCAACAACATTACTCGATTCTGGTTGGACAAGAGGAGTACAATTAAATCCCAAATTGTACTCTGTAGAGTCCCAATTGAATTCCTCAGTTTTGTTGAGTGTATTATGAGCAAAAAATCGCACGATCTTCTCGTACAATTCGGAATTTATAGATACCCGTGATGTTTTGAAAGTTCTGAAATTGAACTCGCCTAAAGACTCGTCCAATTTTGAAAACTTTCAAAACATCACTCGTACCTATAAATTCCGAATTGTACGAGAACATTGTGCGATTTCCTATACAAACAAGCACAAGGATCGCGCGCTTAGAACATACACAATACCGTGTGTGCAACCATGTGACTCAAAACCCCTTGAGATATGAAGAACAATGAAACAACCGCCATGTTGGTTGATCTAATAAGAGAAGCTAATGAGGAATGCTTTGTTATTTTCAACCAAGATGGTCGTTATGACGTAAGATGCACATGATCTATAGAGTGTGTGCAACCATGTGACTCAAAATCTCTTGAGATATACTTATTTCAATTAAGTTAGTCACCAAAAAACCTAGAAAGCTGAGATCACTGAGGATCATGGGAATTTTTTAATATCAAACAAGTAAAGCTTTTGATACAATTTGCAGCTTGAGGATGCTCAGAAGAGGTGAGACTGTAACTGGTAAAAGATCTAAAATCCCTCAATAGTTATTAAAGCAGTTGAAACATGTAAAATGTATCTACCCATAATCCTTGTTGGTCTCAGCTTTGTAGCTTTTCAGGTGACTAACTTTATTGAAATAAGTGTATAAATAAAAAAACAAACAAACAAACAAACAAAAAACAATGCTTAAGCAAATATCAATGAAACAGCCGCCATGTTGGTTGATCTAACAAGAGAAGCTAATACTAAAATATATTTACTCGACAAGGCCCCACACTTGAGAGCAATGCATTGTATAACTAGTATAAACTGGCATTTACTATTAGTTACTAGCTGTCTAAGCATATGCATTGGAAAATGTTATTTTCTCTTTTATTTAACGCAGTACGATAGTCGTTGAGCCAGACTGTACAGCGGTAGTGACAGTACACGGTGACGTGCGTATTGAGGTAAGAGCAGATTTCATGACATGACCATGACGGAGCATTTAGATTGGACCAGCAGTGATCTTACGCGCTTGGATTGGTTCGAATGATTTCACTATTATTTTTCGCGTGACAGTGTTTCACAGTCATACGAATTTTTTTGTAACGAAAGATCTTCTCTTTACCTTAAAAATAAATATGTCATTTGTAATGTTTTTCAATTTCAGACCATGTGTCATTCTCTAGAGTATCATTTCTTTGTTTTACAGCGCAACGCGTAAAAGTATGACCACATTTAATGTATTCGCATACTTCTATACACGGGTTCTGTACGTTAAACCGACACATTTCGATGCAAAGCGTGTTCCATGTTTTTAAAATAGCTAGCATATTTTTAAATAGTTAAAATAGTTAAATTAGTTTGTCTTTGAACAATTTTACGTTGAAAAACTAAGGAATTTTTATAATTACTATTTTAATAAAGTTTGTATCAACTTATATCAGTTTAGATTTGCAATTTGAATGTTTACAACATTTTGTGGGATGTTTAACATCATTGTTGAGTATGTTTATATCAGTGTTTTAAATAAATGAAAAATGTTGCGATGTTTTTTAAAATTGTTTTTTCAGAATATTTATGCATTTTTATGTCTCATAACATTAGGATAGCGTTAAATTTTAAAACATTTTTGAGTCTTTAATGTTTGTAAAGCGCTGTTGAACTAAAGAAATTAGCGCTATATAAAATATTATTTATTATTATTATTTATTATAGCTGGCTGGTTTTACTAAATATGGCCGCATAAAAGTATGCGAATACATTAAATGTGGTCATACTTTTACGCGTTGGCCTGTAACAGCTGCGCATCAGAAGGCACACAAATAAAGATACAACTCAAGCAATAAAAATTATTCTCAAGAGAATGACACGTGGTCTGGAATAGGAAGACATCCATTTTCCCTCTCTCATATTCTTGTATTATTTTGCAGATCAAAGAGCACAAGGACAAAACCAAGGTCGGGACCGAGTTGGACAGAATTCAGGTCTGAACTTTAGTATTAATTATATTTAACTTCGGATAGCCTTGAAATTTACATATGTTTTTTACATATTTTACAACCATCACTCCCCCTAAAGGGCTCTTCCGTCACTGCATTCTTTATTTACGACACACAACTGACATGTTGATTTTTACGGAGGGAGGAAAAACCAGAGGACTTGGACAGCAACCCCTATGAATACACCTAAAACATTTATTCATATATGATCTATTTGTTTGTTTGTTTGTTTGTGTTATGGGTAGACGAGTGTAGTATAGATTGATATTTTTTTGTTATGCTGTTTGTGTTATAGTTGGCTATATTTTCTCATCGCTTCATGAGTACAGCTGAGCAAATGGGAAGGTAAGTATGGGTGATCAATCCATGTTTCCATTCTCCTTGCTTCCTTGCTTCCTTGCTTCCTTGCTTCCTTGCT